AGAGGGGCACTTTGAGCAGGGGCAGTAGGAGCACAGGCTGAAGGGGGCCCAGTGACCCTTCTGGAGGGGAGGGTGCACCAGGGGGGCTGGGCTGGAGCAAAGATGGCAGGGCCTCTGCTCTCCTCGTGCTGTGCTGGCTGGCTGTCGCCTGGGAGGCCAGCGGAGACCATGGGTCCTGAGATCAGCTGGTCCAGAGAGGTCAAAGGCCAGCTGCCTTTGAAAGCAAAGCAGGGACAGAAGGCATGGCTGGGATGGTGACAGACAGTGGGGACTCAGGGAAAAAGGGGCACCAGGGCTCCCACTCTAGGCTGGGTCCAGGCAGGCACTGGGGGACCATGGCCACACCTGCCCAGCCTGCCCTGTGGTGGGTGCTGGGGCCCAGCTCTACACCAGAGGTTTAGGAACTGGCCCAAGGCCACCAACCAATGAGCAGGCCCTTGGAGACAGGACCCAGTGACCCAAAGCTAGAGCCCTTGTGGCCTCTGCCTCCCTGAAGGTAGGTCTGGCTAAAGCAAGGGTCAGAGGTCACAGGGACGAGGGGCCACAGCTTTCCCAGGGAGCATAGCTGTGGGGCAGAGGAGCGCAGCCTGTGGGGTGGGCGACAGCTAGAGGAGAAGCCACAGCAGACACCGCAGCTCTGCCTGGGGCGATCCCCACTGGATGACTCTCCGGGGTGGGGGGGGCTTGTCTTCCAGAGCCGTCTAGGACCGTGGGCTATACTCTGCTCCCCTGTCCCCCCAAACTCCCCGTGCCACCTGACTCAAGCAGCAGCAACCAGGGCTCCACAGGCCTGCAGTTCCGGGCGCGTCGGCTCAGAGCCCTGGGCAGCTCCGGGCCTGGCCTGGGTCAGGGGCTGGCTGCAGTGGCTGCTCTGAGAGCCCTGGAGGTGGGCTCAGGCCCGAGCCCTCGAGCCCGAGGATGTCTGGACCCAAAGCCAACACAAGACCCAGCAGCCAGATCCCCAGCCCTCCGGTGCCTGCCACACCTGAGCCCTGTCACGCCAGCCCAAACCCGCCCCTAGTGTAAACCCCCACCCACTGCCAAGCAGGCCTGGACAGAGGCCAAGGAGCCCTACTTGGTCACAGGAGCCTCATGGAACCCAGAGCATCTGGGTAGGTGTGTTGGGGGTATGAGGGGAGCCTGGCACGGGAGAGGCCCTTCTTGGTAGAGGAAAGTTGGGGCCTGGGACCACCAGGGAGCGCACACAGGTGAGAGCCCAGTTTGGCCATGCTCCCCACCGCTGGCCCACCTGTTTCCTGCCTTGTCTTCAACCGGGTCTTGCCCTCCCGGGCGTGGAGTGCCCTAAGGGGCAGCCTGGAAGAGACTGAGTGGATCCCAGGCCAAGGTGGTAGAGCTGGACCTGTCCACCCCTGGCAGGCCCTGCAGCCACCCTGGTCCCTGGCAGAGGCGCTGGCCTGGGCAGAGAAGAGGGTGGCCAGGCCTCCCATCTTTGGCGGATATCGGGAGCGGGGATACCCAGAAACCAAGCAAATCATTTTCGACTCTCGGGTGTACAGAAATGCAGTTTTTTTGGTAGGCGACGTTGGTTCAATAAATTATGCAGCTGGCACTGCCTGCCTCCCACGACTTCCTCCCCGCACCCCCGCGATCCCCGGACATCCCACACTGCGCCGCCCGCGCCGAGGCAGTCAAGGAGACGGCCGGTGAGCACAGGCACCTGCATAGCCCCGACATGGGCCCTACACCCGCCTGCACGCGTCCACGGTGATGGGCGGGCAGCTGAGGAAGCGGAAACCGAATCTGCTCTCGGCCGTGCTCTGCACCGACAGCGCCACCATCGGGCAGCTTCGGTCCACGGTCTTCCGGCACACCTGGTGGATGCGGGGCCTGAGAGGCGCGCGGGACGTGGGGGCCGGGGCCGGGAAGGGGAGGAGCCCGGCGGGGCTGCGGGCTGCTGGGGACCCGCGCTTACTCACCGGGACCCTGTGCTCCTTCCTAGCCTGGCAGTCGGCGAAGCCCGGCCGGTGGTCTGCGTGGGAGAATGATGGGGGTCGGGCAGGCCGCCCCCTCCCTCCGCGTCCCCGCACGTGCTCACCGGGGACGGCGGGCAGGAGCTCCCGCGTCGCGGTCTCTGCGCTCTCGGGCCGCGCTGGCACCTCGGGCGGGCGGAAGGGCTTGCTGGTGCCCAGGCGTGGCAGCAGAGCCGGCGTCCTGGCCGGGCGAGGGGGTGGTGTGGGCCAGAGCGCGCGCGCGGGAAGGGCGGTCCTGGCGGGGACGGGGCCTGGGGAAGTGGGAGACGGGCCTGTCGGGGGGCTGGGGGACGCGGCAGAGACCGCGGGGCCCACCCTGAACTCCCGACCCGGGCCTCCCGAATCCGGCCGTCGCGCGGGAGTCGGGGCTGGCTCCGCTGCTCGCGGGCGTTGGCCTCGGACTGGGCCTCTGAGAGCAGGAAGCGGTCGATGGACAAGTCGGTGTTGTCGTCGAAGACCTTCGAGACCTGGGTCACGCAGTGCGGGGCCTGGTGCTTGCTGAGGACCTACGGGCGCGAGGGGCGCGCTGTCACCCCCAGCCCGCGAGGCGTCCCTCCGACACCCCCGTCGAGATCCGCACTGACCTCGCCCTTGGGGCTGAGAAGGAGAGTCACGCAGCCCCGGCTGGACTGGAAGTGGACGGTCTCCCGGCCCAGGGACGAGGGCGGCTGCTTCTTGGTGCTGCCAGGTCCCTCACCCCACACCTGGGGACGGCACCGGGCGTGGATGAGGGGCGCGGGCGGGAAGCGGGCGCGCGAGGGCGCGCGGGGCGCGTGGCGCAGGGCGCACCGTGACGTGGTGCTGGGGCGCCAGCAGCGTGTGCGGCGGGAAGCGGTACATGCGCACGGGGAAGTCGCGCTGGAGCTGCTGCAGCGCGAAGCCGCCCAGGTCCGCAGTCTCCTCCAGCGACTCGTTGACGATGCGGACGGACTTCTCGCGCCGACTCACGGCCACGATCTTCAGGCAGGAGCCAGTCGGGCTGCGGCGGGAGGGGCGAGGCAGGGCCCTGTGTGCGAGTCGCTTGGGTCCCCCAGCCTCTCCCCGTGGGGGCAAGCCGCTCCTGCCCCCACGCTTGGGGTCTGCCTCACTCCCTCACCTCCAGCGGTGCCCAGGATGCCAGCTGTCGGAGTCTGCGCTGCAGGCCGGAACTGGCTTGCCCTGCCTGTCCAAGTCGGTTTCCTGTTGATCCAGGAAGAGGACCCCTGTCCGGGAGGTGGACCCCCGCTTGGAGTGCCCAGCGGGGACATCTGGTGTGAGGCCAGCTGGCCTGCAGCGCCCTGAGGGTCGATGGGGGAGAGGAGGAGCGCCAGGGGTCAGACCCAGGGCGGGAGGTGCTTGCTCCCACCCCTCCCGCTGAGGGGAGCAAAGGGGTAGCTCGCCTTCATGTAGAGCATGGAGGCCTCTGAGACCACCCCAATCCCTGCAGATGCAGCTGCAGAGGTCTCAGTGGGCTCCAGAGAAGGCCAGTGGCTGGGGGACCCCCTTTAGGGCTCGGGGCAGAAAGCTCGGCCCAGCGGGCTGGGCCAAAAGGAGGACCCAGGGAGACGCGCCCCACCCGCCTTCGGACTCTGCCTGTGAGTCCCTGCGGCAGCTCCCAGCCTGCGGTTTGGTCTGCTCAGACGTGTGTCCTGGTGCCCAGGGCAGGTGCCCTGTCACTTTTTGCATGCGAGACTTCAGGTCCAGCCGGGGGCTGCTAGAGTCAGAATCGGCACCTCCCGAGCTGCTGGTGCCCTCCAAGGGCAGCGGCCTCCACTCCACAGTCTTTAAGCTCCGCTCCGCCTGGTGGACACTTGGCTCTGAGCCACGCTCCTCAGGTGCTGGGGCCACTGGTTGCTTCGTGGGTGGCTGGGGCTCGAGGTGCCTGCGGGTCACCATCTGCTCACTGGCCACTCTGCTTCTACTCTCAACCTCGCCTTCCAGCCTCTCCAAAGCTGGCGGGGCGCCCTGAGTTATGGTCTCCCATCTCTAGGAGCCAGCCTGGGAAGGGGCTCATGGCAGGACAGAAATGGCCCAGGAGCCCTTCCACGACCCCATTCTACAGATCAGAAAACTGATGCTTACAAGGTTCAAGTGACTTGTCCAGGGACACAAAGGGTGGAACTTGGACTCTAGTCCACACCTGCCAAGGCAAGCCTGCCCTCCCCTGGCTCCTGGGGGGTCCCTGCCCAGTGCAGTTACTTGTAATCCAAGTTCGACTTGGTGGTGGCGAAGAGGTTGGGGTATCTATGGGCGACACTGTTCCAGTCAACATCTTCGAGCCGGAAACCCTGCCCGGGAAACAACAGGTATATGCCCCCCAAACACACACCGGCCTGCCGAGCCCTGACCGCACGTGAGGGACTTGGCTCACCTCCTGCGCAGGGGGGGCCTCATCGTTCTCAGACAAGTCGCTGGGATCTATCAGGGTTTCCGCAGTCACCACCTGCAAGAGGGGGCAAGAGACCAGCAGGCAGGGGCTGGGGATATGGACACCCCTGTCCCCTCAAGGCACCTCTCCCCTTGGACCTCACCAGCATCTGAGGCACCCACCGCTGAGTGCCAGGTGGGCAGGGCCCAGGGCATTCCCTCCCAGTCCCAGGCATGTGGGAAGTCCCAGGAAGGCCGGGGAGGGCACGTGGGGCACGGGCTCACCTCCACACTGCCAGTGGATGAGCGCAGCATGCGGCCTATCCAGGAGGAGCGGGCCAGCTGCAGGAGGCAGGACTTCTCCATGGCCTGCAGTTCCGCCTCCACCTGCTGCAGCAACTGCTTGGTCTGCATCAGCTGCTCCTCCAGGTGCACCTTCTCCTGCTCCAGGAGGCCCACAGGTGGGTGGGGCCTTCTCAGACCCCGCCCCAAGGCCAAGCCCCGCCCAGCTCCCTGGCCCCTCACCAGCTGGGCCTGTTCCTTCTGCTCCTTCAACTCCAGAGTCAGCTTCTGCACCTGGGTCTGCAGGAGCTTTTTCTGACTGTGAGAGCTCCTGGGAGAAGGGGTGAGCTCAGTGAGCCAACAGGGGGCACACAGGGCAGCTGGCCCAGGTGGGGTCAGGCTCTGAGAGGCCTGGGTTGAGGTCAGCACCCACTGACATGTCCAAGGTTAGGGTCTGGGCAAGGTTACAGTGTACCAACTTTTTCAGGGCTAGGGTAGGGGGTTAGGGTCAGATAAGGACTAGGGTTAGAGGTAGAGGTCAGGCTCAGGGCTAGGGTCAGGTTGGAGTTTCGGTCAGGCTCAGTGGTTGGGGCTGGGGTCAGACAGAAGCCAGCAGTTAGGCGCAGGCCAGGGGACTAGCATTTCGCTGACCTCTCGAATGGAAGCCCAGCCACCTCCTGCAGGATGCGGCCACGCCGGACACTCTGGGGCTCCTGGATGGCACACCGCAGGGCCTGGATCTCCAGTTCCCGCTGCCTCCACAGCAGCTTCAGGGTGCGCGGGTCTAGGGACTCAGGGGCCAAGCTGCAATGCCAGCACCCCGGCTGCTTGATCAGGCCTGGCCCTCTGGCTGTCCTGGCTCAGGGGACTGACCACCCCTCCCTCCCTTCCTTACTGCAGCTTGAGGGGGAAGACCACGCCCTTGGAGCTGGGCTTGGTGTCCTTCAGGCCTGCAGGAGCCACCAGGTCTGCAGGTGTGGACGCTGGAGGTCCCAGATGGCCACTGACCGGCTCTCTGTCCACCAGGGAGGAGAGAGCCTCTTCCTCGGCTTCTCCAGCCTCCTGGCAAGACTCGGGGACCATCTTCGATGTTCTCAGAGGAGCTGAGGGGTGGGGCTGTCTGCCCTGTGTCCTGTGTGCAGGCACCTCTGTGGGGCTCTCGTGCGTGGCCACGTGTACATGAGTGTGTCTGACGGCCCCAGACAGCACCGGGTTCAGATTATAGCTCTCCAAGGAGGCCGCACGCGTGCGTGTCTGTGTGTGTGTGTCTACCCCCTAGGACACCAGACTGCCTGTCACGTGGGTGACCACACCTGTGTCTCTGATCAGGCAAGGGCAGCAGGTCACATCCTCAGGCAACATGTCACCTGGGCTTTCGCACATTCTCTGTGATCTCTATCACCCTGGCCCTCCAAGACCTCAGGTCCCCAGAGGTGCCGGTCCTTTACCCACAACACCCATGTCCCCCCAGTCTCAGGGCCCTACCCCAGCACTCACCTGAGGCCTGAAATCCAAGCAGGCCTGGGGAGAGAAAGGCTCTATAGCGTTGCCATAGATACCAGGACCCAGAGGGGAGGGGCTGTTTGTTACCAGGAGCCTCCAGGGAAACCCCAGACCAGGGCCCTGAGTGAGCCCTGGGTCCACTTCCTCCCCTGCCAAGGGGCTGATCCAGACTGAAGAGGAAGCTGAGAGAGGCTGAGCTGCTGCCCAACTAACTTCCACAGACCCAGGGAACCACAGAGTGACCAGCAGCACCTGCCATGGTCACTCAGCCCAACATCCTCAACCGACCCTGGGTGGGGCTCCCACAGTCCCTCCCCACCCGACCATGGTGATGGATCTGTGGATGGATAGTGGGGTCGTTGCAGCCCTGTGCGTGTGTCTACGAGCCAGTAGGACCACACTCCTGAGGATGCAGGTTTCAGTGAGCTGAGCTGAAGAGGAGCGGGGAGAGGAAGCAGTGGATAGCCTCGAGAAGCTGGGGGAGGGGCTCACTGAATTTTGACCCTCACCTGTGTGCTGTCCACAGCCTCTTCGCCCTCAGTGGCTAATGCCTACCTACCTAACCCCCAAGCCAGAAACCTCACCTTCCCCTGCCCCTCTCTACCACCCGGGCCACCGAGGGGAGCCCAGGGAACATTCCCATAACCATGGCAACTGTTCTGTCTATCCTAGAACAAAAGCAAGGCCCCAGACCTGAGCACAAGACAAGTGCCGTCTAGCCTTTGCTTCCCACCCCATCTTCATCCACTCATCATTCAGTTAGCAGACTTTCAGCTTTGGTTCATGTGGGGCCACCTGTGCTGGGCAGGACAGGGCAGGCGGGAAGACACCCCCACGACCCAGACCGATTGGAGGCCCCCACATAGAGATCATTGAGGCTGAAGGGCCATGGCTGATGAGCTGGCCTGGGTCCTCCGATGGGACGGCAGGACTGGCCAGGCAGAGGGATGTATCCACAGCTCAGGAGGCCACTGGGCCCTACTGGGGACAGAAAGGGGTAGGGGGAAGGAGGCTCAGACAAAGTCCAGAGCCTTTGTCCAGGGCAACCTCAGAGCGGCCTCCCACACCAAAGCTGTCAGCCTAACTGCGGCCAGACAGGGCCGGCGGCCCAGCAGCTTCACCTTTCCTCCCCAGGGGCTCACAGCCCCTCCCCCGACCCCTGTCTCTCCCGACGACGGCCGCCGCGAGCCCTAAGGAAGAAGGATCGAAGGGGCCCTAGCTCTCGAGGCCCATCAGGCAGGGGGCCTTCTGGGCGCTGGCGGGCTTGCGGGGTCCCAGGCCGGCGCCCCTCCCAAAAGAGAGACACGTCAGAGTGACGGCTTGTGAGCAAGTGGGCCTGGGAATGGGGCCAGACACCTGCCCCACACGCCGCCCCCGGGTCACCGGCCGAGACGCGCTTCCGCGTACTTCGCGGGCTTCGGGCGTGAGTGGACCCAGGCTCCACCCGCCACTCGGAGCGGCCTAGCCACGCCCACACCTGGGCACCGCCGGGGGCGCGGGGGGCAGGGAGCCAATGGGGAGAGGTGGGGCGGGGCACAGAGAGGGTGGCCAATGGGCGTAGGTACAGGGAGGGCGGGGCGCACCGAGGAGCCAATGGGGGCTCGCGGGATGGGGTACACGGGCTGCAGGCCAATGGGGTGGCAGCCCGGGGCGCTCCCGCTGCGCTGCGGGCGGCAGGTTGCGGCCTCGCGGGGCGCGGGGAAGGAGCCGGTTCGAGTCCGGACCCCGGAGGCCGGCGGGCGCCCAGGTGAGCCTCGCCGACACCGGGAGCCTCCTGAGTGCGAGGTCGGCCCGGGCAGCAACTCCGACGGACGAGCGCGAACCGGGCCGCCCGTTGGGGCCGCGCCGCACCTGCACCCGCCCCACGGCATGGTTGGCGGCCTGCGGGGCGAGCGTGGCGAACAGCGGGACTGGGAGTGGGCTGCCTGTGCCAGGCTCGGTGGGTCCGGACGGTGGATGTCTCAGTCGCGGGGAGGAGGCGTTCCCATGGCAGCAGGGTGCCGGGTTTGCGTGTGGGCGCCCTAGGGTGCCTGGGGACGGCGCCTCGCGGGAGGGGCAGTGCCCTCCGCGCCAGGTAACTGGGTGGGGAGGCAGGAAGTCCTGCATCTGGTTAATGATTCGCCTCGTTCCGGAGTGGGGCGGGGCAAGAGGAGGCTAGGAAGTGGGGGAAGGCTCCCGTGCTCCTGGAGGGAAGACTGGTTTCCCCTTTGGGGGAGCTGGTCTTGACTACCCCCACCCCAGGAATGTGTGGCCTGTGGGTAGGGCTGGGCACAGGAGAGCTGGGCGGCAGCCCTGAACCAGTTCTAGGGTGAAGAGCAGGCCAGGAGGAGCAAGAGAGGAGGGCCAGGCCGTGGGGGGGCCAGGTAGGGCTTGACCCTGTGGCCTTCACCTGCAGGACGGGGATGCTCTCTGCGGCCATGGAGCTGAAAGTGTGGGTAGACGGCATCCAGCGCGTGGTCTGTGGGGTCTCGGAGCAGACCACCTGTCAGGAAGTAGTCATCGCACTAGCCCAAGCTATAGGTGAGTTCCCTCAGGGACAGACAGGCACAACAGGTAGACCTGGGGTGGGGCCTGGCCCTCTGGCCTTGTCTTCCTCCAAGGAGGGTGGGGCCGGTTGCTGATCCCTCTTGCCCCTCCCCACTTCCTCAGTCTGGGTGGACAGGGTGGGGGGACGCAGGCTGACCCCTCTCCCCCACCCCAGGCCAGACGGGCCGCTTTGTGCTTGTGCAGCGTCTCAGGGACAAGGAACGGCAGCTGCTGCCCCAGGAGTGTCCAGTGGGTGCCCAGGCTACCTGTGGACAGTTTGCCAGTGATGTCCAGTTTGTCCTGAGGCGGACAGGGCCCAGCCTCGCTGGGAGGCCCTCCTCGGACAGCTGCCCACCCCCCGAGCGCTGCTCGATCCGCGCCAGCCTGCCACCGAAGCCGCGACCAGCACTGGGCCGTGAGCCCCACAGAACAGTGACTTTCAGCCTGGAGTGCCACAGGCTGGCCTCCAGCCCTGCACTGCCTGAGCCTGTAGTCCCCGTGGCACCTGTGCCAGGCCCCTGGGAGGACCTGCAGGGCCTGGCGCAGAGGGTGCAGAGGAACGCAGAGGAGCTGGGTCAGGAGGCCTTCTGGGAGCAGGAGCTGCGGCGGGAGCAGGCGCGGGAGCGCGAGGGGCAGGCGCGGCTGCAGGCGCTGAGTGCGGCCACCGCCGAGCATGCCGCCCGGCTGCAGGCCCTGGACGCCCAGGCCCGCGTCCTGGAGGCCAAGCTCCACCTGGCCGCAGAGGCCCCTGGGCCTCCCTCGCCCACAGCGTCTGCTGCGGAGCGCCTGCGCCAGGACCTGGCCGCCCAGGAGCGGCAGAGCGCGGAGGTGCAGGGCAGCCTGGCCCTGGTGAGCCGGGCTCTGGAGGCTGCGGAGCATGCCCTGCAGGTGAGCTCAGGAACCTGCACCCCGGACGGGCGGGTTCGGGCCGGGTGTCAGAGCCCGACTCGGGAGGACACCAGCATGTGGAGCCCATGGCTGTGCCCCTGAGGGTCCCATGTGCCCCAGGCCCAGGCCCAGGAGCTAGAGGAGCTGAACCGGGAGCTCCGCCAGTGTAACCTGCAGCAGTTCATCCAGCAGACGGGGGCTGCCCTGCCGCCCGCCCCGCGGCCAGACCGGGCTCCCCCTGCCACACAGGTCAGTGGTTCTGGAGGGTGGCTGGCTCAGTGGGGGCCCAGTCAGCTCCAAACTGACCCGCTCTCCCCACAGGATCTCATGCCTCCAGCCAGAGAAAAGCCCCTCCCGGGAGGCCCCCGGAGTCCCGCCCTCGTGTCTAGTCTGAGCCCAGAGGGTATGTCTCTGCCTGACTCTGGGAGGGACGAGGTCACCCTGTGGCCCCTCAGCCCCCTCAGCCTGCGTCCTCTCCACAGTTGCCCCCATGAGACAGAACTCTTGGAGGTAGCAGCTCCCGCCCAGAGTGAACGTCCACGGCCAGCCCAGCCCTGGGCTCTGATGACATGAGCGAGGGCAGCTGAAGCCAGCCCGGCCTGGACAGCAGCAGTCACAGTCTTAGAGGACTCCCTCCCCCGTGCAGTTGGAAGCCCTTGTGCCCTGGGCCCAGGACAGAACACCTCGGAGCCATGGGGTTTCTGCTATGGGGGGCGGGGAGCCCGAAGATGCTCGCCCTGCTCCTTGCCAAGTCTGCCCAGCCGCCTGGAGAAGCTGGGGACACGGCCAGCTCAGAACTCATTAGGCCCCAAACGCCATGGCCCCTTTTCCGGGACGGGAGATAGTGGATACCGTTCAGTCTGGGTATGTACTTGCCCGTGGGAGGCACCCTCCACTACATACGTGTGCGTACATGCGCGTGCCCACGCTGTCCCCCCCACTGCGACACTAACGCCTCAATAAACTGCCTCAAGTGGCTTGAGTGTGTGCTGAGGCTGCACTAGGCAGGGACTGGGGGCTCTAGCACTTGGGACCCTACCCAGAGTCACCCCGGAGTTCCCTGAACTGCTCAGGGCTGACCATGGCCAGGGCCTCTGAGAAGGGGGTTCCCGGGGTCAGTAGTCAGTCGGATACAAGGCGGGCCTCCAAGGCCTCACACTTCGGGCTTCTGTGCCCACCCCGGGGCTGAGCCCACTGCTATAGTTGGTTTGGGTCTTCTGGACCCCCTCCCCCAGGATGCCCCTCCTCTGGCCTGCTCTTCACGAGCAGCAGGAGCTGCCACCCTCTCTGGGATGGCTCCTGAACGTGAGGACTCAAGGACACGCCAGACCTGCCTGTCAGGTTGACTAAGTCTGAGAGCTCGTGGGAGCAGGTGTCTGGACTGCCGGGTCAGCCAGGCCCAGGGACTTTTGCCCAAAGCGGCTTTGTAGGCCCCGTGAGGGTGCGGCCACCCTGCTTTCCGACTGCCCCTGCTCCCCGGGCGGGCGTGAAGCCTCTGCTGCCGGCCGGCAGCCTTGAAATAAGGGCGGGCGTCCAGGTCATAGCCTCGTCCTGGGCTGGGCCGCAGGCTCCCGGCTCCAAGGTCTGTGGCTAGGATCGGGGATGTGATGACCAGAGTTTGGGGGACTCTAAGCCTTGAGTGAGCGATATTGAGGGGCAGGGTGGGGACATCTGAGATCATGGGGTGCTAAGTTTTAGAGTGAGCAACTTTGGGATGGAGTCAGCCTTCCGCTGGACTGGGGCGACCCCCGAGTTGGGCCCGGTGCTCCCCACTTCCTTTAGGGCAGACCATAGGGGACATGAAGTCCTAAGCATGAGGAGCAAGGAAGCCAAGAGCACAGCTTGAGGGGGGCAACCAGGACTGGGGGCTTCCTGCCTGAGATGGACCATAGATCCGGAGTAGCTGGACAGGGCAAGTGACAGAAGGGGGCTTCCTGTGTGTTAGGCTGCCTGAGCCTGCCGCCCGGCTCACAGCAATCTGTCCCTAGGGGTCTGGACCGTCCGGACCTGTAGCCCCAGAGAGGACCAAGCACAGGGTCCCATGGAACGTAGCCTGGAGTTGGAAAGGCTGATGGGGCCGTGCCCTAGGTGGAAGGCCTGAGGGCTGTCTCCAGGTCTGAGGGGCCTGTGTCCCTCACCCGCGGCTCCTACCTACACCCAGGAAGGCTGGATGACCTCTGGGCACCAACCCTGAGTCCTGCATGGGGTCAACTCCCACGCTGAGTGCACAGGCTGGCAAGGGCAAAGGCAGATGCCATCCGGGGCCCATCCTACACAGATGGGACAGGTCAGGACTCAACCACACCATCCTGTGTCATGAGCTTCCTCGCCAAGTTTCCTGGCCCCTAGAGGGACTCAGGCACGGAGCCGGCAGGGCTCACACACCCCTGGCCTGCGTCTCTTTCCGAAGGACACCTGTTCCTTCCGAAACCACCGCCAGGGGCTCGTCCCTGGTCTGCTCCTGGCTCTGAGCAAGCTAACGAGCCCTCCCCTCCACCTCAGAAAGGTCCTCGGGCAGCCAAGCTGGAGTGGGGGCTGCAGCAGAAAAGGGGCAGAACCCCCCCCCTCCAGCCGTCAAGTAGACAAATCCCACAGCACCAAAAAGTGCCCAAAGTGCTTCAGATCACTGAGCAAACCTGTGAGTGGCTGAAAAGTTTAAGTTTTAAACTGTACATTGAAAACAATGATGTGAGTTGTGCCGAGGTGGGGGAGGCCCTGCCCCGCAACGTCCATTCATGGCAGGAGCACGCTAGGCCGGGCTGGGCAGCTCTCCAGCAGCTGAGGCAGGACCCTGCCTGGTGTGAGGACCACTGAGTCGTCACTGCCGCCCTTCAGGGCCAGGCTGTGTTCGGGGGACAGCACTGGAGCCCCTGCTGGCCTCAGCGCCTTCTCACCCCCAATGCAGGAGTGCCCTCTAGGGCTGCCAGAGAATACCGGGGTTCTCAACCCCAAGGCCGCCACAGCTTCCCCGTCACCTGCCGAACCTGCTGCGTGTGACAGCACAGTGACCACCAGGACAGGGTCTTTGCAAAGGGGAGTCCAAGCCCACATGAATCCCTGAGACCTCTCCGCCAACTGCAGACCCAGCTCCAGCTGTCAGTCTCCACTGCGTGGGGAGAGGACAGGGTGTGCCGCAGGCATCCTGGCACCTGCAGGCCCTGGGCATACTCCACGACCAGCAGGCTTTTACCGTAGACTTGAAAGCTCCCAGCAGAGAAGGCAGGCCCAGCGGACAGGCCAGGGACTCCACCAGGTGCCCCCACCTCTGGAGGGGTACACTGCTGGGCACCACAAATGGGTCCAAGTCCTCACTCAGTGGCCTTGATGAAGTGGCAGAAGTACACAGAAAAGCCGAAACTGTCACTATCTTCCTTTAAAAAGTTCCCAGAGATGCTCTTTAGAGGATGGTCCTAGAGGCTCCGGTCCTGACGGCTGAGTTTCTGACCACCACACCCGTGCCTGCCCAGGGCTGCCCTCAGCTTGGCGACATCCAGAAGACCGACCCAGGAACCGTGCACATCCTGGCACCCTGCGACACACAAGGAAAAGAAAGTTCCCTCCAAGAGGGCATCAGGTCCAACCTGAGCCCTCAGTGTCCCCCCTTTATCCCCCTGGGCGTCCGCTAGGCATAGACAGGCAGACCCTTCCATTGAGGCGCCCTGGCCTCCCCCTAACTCCCACCTTGGCGCGCGCCTTCCGAGCCGGTGAGACCTCCCCCTGCCCGACTGAGCAGGGTCACGGAGGGGCCGGGGCGATCGCGCTGCCCAGGGACAGATCAGCCGCTGTCACACGCACAGTGGGTCCGGAGCAGCGCAGTGTGCGGTGGGCAGTGGCTGCCCTGCGCCTGGAGTGACCGCCGGGCAGGCGGAGAGGTCGTCCCGGACCCCGACCCTTCCGTTCCCTCCAACTTCGGCGTCCGAGCCCCCACAGTGCGCAGGAGAGGGGGGGGGCCTCTGG